TGTGTGTGTGTGTGTATGTGGTCACTGATGACTCATGAGCAATGCAAAAAATAGACTGACCACTTTCGGCTTCTCTTCCACTTGTTTCTCGTCCCCTGTGTCTTCGGTGTCTTTCTGAACAAAGGAGATGAAATATTAGCTATTGAACTGTATCAACCTAAATCAGATTACTTAAAAAGGACCAAACTTTAGTTGAACTCACTACAAATCATAGTACTATACATTACTTACATTTTTGCTGACCATTTTCTACAGTTTTAGATTTTCAGATGTATTTTTCCAACTATTCCAAGCAGCCATTGGTTTCCATTCCATTATTAATTTGTGCCAGAACTGCCAAAAGAGTTATTGATTTTAATATTGTAGAAAAATTAATGGAGAATAATGGTTGCTAAGAGCTGTAGGTAAATATACACCCTAAAATCTTACTCACATTAAAGGTAGGGTAGGTGTGTTGGTAGGTAACGTCTCATTTGCACGATTGAAATTAGTGGCTTGGCTTATTACAGCTACATATACATATATATATATAAGGTTTTCCTCTATAGCATGTACATTTATATCACCTACCATAGCTTTAACACTGTTTGTAAACTGGTTAGTTGTGATGAAAATAGGTGAGATCTGTAGTAGTAGCTAAAATGAGGGGAAAAAAACCCAACAAACCTTCCCACCATCACCAGTATCACAGTCCCATCGCCAGTATCACAGTCCCATCGCCGACTTCCAGTAACTTAAAACATCATGATCACGTCGATCACGAACCCCCCCGCCCCTCCTCCACCATGACCAACCCAATCGACATCATAGTTACTTTATTTGCAGAGCGGAATATGTTCAGTTTGGACATGGCTCCAACCTTGCCGCTCTGAGAGGGTGGGACACATCATCAAGATTTAAGGGAATGTCTCAAAGTTTTAGATTTTTAACTGCTTCGCCAGTCACTAGACACACTGAGTTCTAAGTTAGACCAATAAATTGGCCAATATAACTTGATAAGTAAGAAGAAACTGAAGTACGGAAATGCCAAACTAGGTTTGAGGTAGTTTAGAAAGATTAATTTGTCCACCAAAGGGCTCAGTATGTAAGTTTCTTGTTTACCATTAAATATATAATTTTTTTTAAGATTTGTTTCAAGACTTTTTTTGTTATGTGTTTGCCGGCATGTAAAAAAATTAATTTAATCAGCCGATGTATTGTTATTGGACTTTACAAACTCCCAAATATTCATATTCAATAGTCATTTAGTTGTAATTAAATAATTAATGTAATCAAATTAAAAAATCATGTTAGCATTATTAGCCTTCTCTATTAAAATCAAGCGCCATAGATAGATGATCAGAGGCTAACAGCAGTGTGTCTTGTTTCCAATCAGGAGTGCTATGGCTACTGGCAAGCTATTTTATGTCAAGCACGGACATTTCAAACACTATAAATACAGTAAATAAATAACAGTCATCACACTGTTAGAAACCAGTCCGGCTGTCTTATAGTTTCCCCACAGATTTAATTTAGTTTTATAAGCAACAGGTTTGCCTGGTCTGGGGCATACCAGTGGCCTATAGGTTGTTGTTGGAACCGGAGTGGGGACCTTTATTGCAAAGAAATTGTATAAAAACACCTTTTCCTGGTCTGGGCAAAAACACCTGCAGGACAAGCCAAGTATAGATATCTGAAGCTGTCTCCCTTTGACTTGAAAAACTTAAAGTATGACTCAACAAGACCAGGCAAGACAAGAAAAGCTGGACTGCAGACAGCCTGTGAGTTAAATGCTACTCAAGAACTTTAGCCTTTCACTTTCTTCCTTTCTACCTAAGCAGGACAAAGCAGTTCACAATGCCTCCCACTGACCCGTGCACACAAAAACACACCAAACTGGTGGTAAAGTGTGACACTAGGAAGCAGCAAGCTTCCCCTTAATTATTAATATCAGCCAAACATAACATATATATATATATATTTTTTTTTCTACCCCTCATTGAGGCTAAATAAAAAAAAGCGTGACGCAAAACGTATGAAATAACACAATGAAACAGGAACAAGTGAATATCAAAGCACCTGTTTGCTGCCTGACGACTTCTCGCTGCTCGCAGGTGGATCCTCGTCATCTGAGCCTTCCTGCTTCTCAGGCTGCAGAGAAAAACAGACAGAAATCTTTATTTTATGAAAAACACATTAAAGAGGCTGCACAGTTCTCTTGAAATACATCCATTTATTTCTTGAGCACTATGAAAAGATTACAATCTAAAGCTTCCTTACTTTGTTGGCAGATCGGAATGGATTCAGCTTTGTCATTGCCTCAGCAAATTTACTCTGAAGGTGAAACAAAAGAAAAAGAAAGTTAAAAAATACATTATAAAGAAAAACATACAGAAATTGAATTGCTGATTGAAACCAGGAGATAAAACCCTCACAAACCTGTTTGTGACCGTGCTGGCCCTCTCCATTGTCCATTATCTCCTCACAGTCAGAGTCAGCGTTCTTCTCCTGAGCCAATATTCATCATAAAATATAAACAATAACAGATAGTAGTAACAATAGTAGATCATATGGATTATTCTCGAACTTAAAAATATATATTTTTAGGCTTTTCTGCTGGAGAAACTATTTAGTTTGATGTGAAAGATGAACTGATTACAACACGCCACCTCTTACCTGTTTGTCAGTGTAGAACGTGCTCTTCATCATCGCACTGAAACCGTTCTGAAATAACACAAAGACACAGTTACTTATATATTATTACAGCCCTAACCATCACTTTAATGTAACAGCAGATCTTATTCCTAAACATCCAGACAGAAACATAGTTTTAAAGCAACAGAGATCCAGTTACTCTGCCATGACAACCCACCTGCTTAGCTTTGGGTTTCTCTGCAGTAGTATTCTCACTGGAGTCCCCTGAGTGTTCAGTCTTTTCTTCATCCCTCTACAACACATTATAACAGCATGTTATTAATCTCTGAACAACACCAACACTTCATATGATTCAGGAATAAGCGTGAGAATTCAAAGCAGTTGAAGTTAGAAACTGATTGTATCTCCTATATGTTCTGTTATTGTTGATGCGGTGCAAGTCAAAGTGAAAACCAAAAGACAAGAAGAGGACTTGAAACAAAAACAAATCTGCAGTAAGCTTCCTCTCTCACCTTTGAAAACGTCTCCATGAGACTGTCACTGCTGGCAGAGAGTTCAGTATCCACAGACAGATCATCCTAAACAGATACAGTCAGAATGTAACAACCAAGACAAAAACACTAAAGATATTTATCCCTGCTGGCTTTAATAATATGAAAACACGGAGCAGAATTTACCTGAAAATGCCCCTTGAACATCAAATGAACAAATGGATTTGCAAATGAATAAATCCTTTTCCCCTCATGTCACTTTTATAGGACTTTTCAGAAAACAAAACATCCCTCAAACAGGATACTTTACTTTTTGGATTGAAAAACCATTTGTGACAATCTTACCTTAGACTGAGATTTGGCAACTTTCTTTCTGAACACACCACTAAAGATTCCTCCTTTCTCCTGAGAAAATAACAGGAAGCAAACTCTTAATATTACTACATTTACACTGATCTTGCAATATTGTGTCACTTGAGGGTCACGATGGCTTTAACAAACTCACCTTAGTGTTGTTACTCTCAGAAAGATTATCTTTGCTGCCGGACAGCTCGTTGGGTTCAGACAAATCATCCTGAAGGCGAGAAGGAACGTCAAATTAGAATAATACTAATCCTGTCCTAATAATTTATAACATGGTTTAGTGGTGAGACCTGAGATTGGGTCCTGGCTCCAAAAGGCTTTGGGGATTTTTTAAAGATCCCACTGAACACCCCTCCCGTCTCCTGGGAGAAGTTACATGACAATTTGTGTGAAATTTTGCCCAGAATGAAGGAATTAAGTGTAGCATGTCTCTGATATATTGTGTTGTTTTACCTCTGTCTATAAGGATTGGTTCAATCAATCTTAATCAAACCTCACCTTAGTGTTGCTATTCACAGAAATATTGTCGCTGCTGCCTGAGAGCTCACTGGGTGCAGACAAATCATCCTGAAAGCAAGAAACAAACAGTCCCATACTGATTATTATTATCACCTCCTAATAATGTAACACAGCTATAAGTGAGACAACTCTCACCTGAGATTGCGTCCTGGATCCGAACGGCTTTGGGGATTTTTTAAACATCCCACTGAACATCCCTCCTGTCTCCTGGGAAAAATAAAAAAAAGTCACATAAAAGTGAAATCTTGCTCATAACGGAGGGATTTAGTTTAGTGTTTGTCTAGTGTCAAATGGATAGGCATGGACTTCACACAGCAGCCTGGACTCTCTTCTCTAATGCTGATGTGTGCTGTGTGTAACTGTGCTGTGTGTTGTGCGAGGATAACCTCGCACAACACACACACAAAAACAAAAACAGAAACACACATTTCCCAAACTCTCACACACACAGCATTATGGTACAGTCACATTATCCCACAGTGCAATGAAACTGCCACACACGCATCAAAAAAAAAACCTTCTGATGTGGTTAATGAATAAATATAGAAGAATAATGACTTTTTCTATTCCAAAGCACAGCTGACTGTGCATGTTGAGTCTGGAAATTGCACCGAAACAAAAAAAAAACGCATGCTAGAATCAGTGATACGGACTCGATGGAGGGACAGAGGTGTAATATGACTGTATCAGTATCAAGAGATGAGGAGAGGCTTTGTGTTTGTTTCATAGAGGTAGCTAGCTGTCACAGCCTCACCTTAGTGTTGCTATTCACAGAAATATTGTCGCTGCTGCCTGAGAGCTCACTGGGTGCAGACAAATCATCCTGAAAGCAAGAAACAAACAGTCCCATACTGATTATTATTATCAGTTCTCTAATAATGTAACACAATGTAAATTAAGACGAACTCTCACCTCAGATTGGGTCTTTGCTCCAAAAGGCTTTGAGGGTTTTTTAAACATCCCACTGAATATCCCTCCTGTCTCCTGGAAAAAAAGAGGTTGAATAATAATTACTTCTATATGTTAATTAAAATCAAATAAAACCAGTTGTTTTGTATATTTGATACTGATGCAGCTGTCAGGTGGACAGGCAGAGATTCAGTGCTTCACACGTTGCTCAGCACTTCTTCCAAATTGCTGATCCATGCAGGTTCAGCTCACGCATCCAAACACACACAAAAACAGAAACACACCCAAAGTCCCCAGTCGAGGTCTGCACACCTACTGTAGGTTTAATCAGAACCACCTATATGTGTCACTAGTTAACACAGAGTTCTTCCTCAGTATAAAATGTCTCTAGAAATAGTAATATTGTCATGTACTTTAAATATGTTTCCAACTTTATATAAGCAAACAATGTTTAACACTTTAACACACAGCAATTTTTTTTCCTCAGACAAAGCCTGTTATCCACTTTATTAGTGGTTAAGCTTTGTTTTTTTTTTTTTAAATATTAAGGTGATTCTGCTTACAAACAGTTTTTATATTTATCACAATTTATCTTATTAAAATGATTTGTTGAAAGAGTCTAAAAAAACATTGAAATCATACTGTCAAACGTAACATAAAGTCTCTTTAGAATCTGATTTCATTTGTTGATTTCTTTTATTCTTTCTATTTTATTACTACTATTGTAATTTTGTTTGGTTCAAGCTGTGATCTCTTGATTGTACACTAGTTTTATTAATACAGATTTTTTTTAAATAGAAGTTAAGAACAAAATGCTAACATCAGACTTTGTATTAAGTTTGTATTCGTCTCCAGTTGTTTGTGTGAAAGTGTGATGAGACTCACTTTAGTTGTGGTGTTTTCAGACTGACTGTCGTTACTGGCTGTGAACTCGTTGTCCAAAAGATCCTGAAACACGATTATAACACATAAAAGACACATTATTTTACCTGTCAGGCATTGAGCTGGTAACTGTATTCTCCAGATAATCTCTCTGTCTGTTATAGAAGATTGTGTTTCACCTGCGAAGGCCTCCGGGCATGTCCTGGTTTAGGAGATCGTTTCAGTATCCCACCCAACACACCTGATTTTTCCTACAGAGAAAGAGTGCAGAGAAAGGTTTAGTTTCAAAGACTAACATGAAAAATATCACAGAGCAGAAAGTAAACTCACCTTTGAGGACTCTGTTAAGCTGTCACTGCTGACAGACAGTTCAGGATTTTGTATTGAGAGGGTGTCCTATGAAAGATTAAAAAAGTTGATCACATCTGTATATTATCATATATTATTTCTATACAGCTATGGAGACACATGTGATTAGTGTTTGTTGACAGGTGAAACACACACACTGGGATTGCTCAGGTCTGAATTTTTAGAGAATTAGAAAACTAATGTAACACCAGAAATACACATTAATACAATGTTACTAAGCAGGTAAATAAACAAAAGAAAAAATGATAGAAATTGATAAAAAATTTAATTTCATGGTCTGAATGAATAAAATATCAATATTACAGTGATAAAAAAACAATAAAAGCAGCAAATTCTCACTTTTAAGAAGCTGGAACCAGAAAATGTTTGACATTTCTGTTTGATAAATAGCTTAAATGATAAGTCAATAAGCCAAACTGCTGACTAATCATAAGAAACACGAGGCAGAGCACAGTAAGTAAGTCCACTACAAACCTGAGGCTGGCCCTCTTTGGCAGCTTTGGTCGTCTTCTTAAACATTCCCTTAAAGATGCCTCCTTTCTCCTGAAATGTGTAATATTATTATATAAAAGTTTTCTCAATTTACAACACAAATCATTCACAGAAAAGCTTCCTGAGCTTCACCTTGGCGCTGCTGTCAGTCAGACTATCGCTGCTCTTTGAAAGTTCACCGTTGGTCGATAAACTGTCCTGTAAAGTTGACACAGAGCTTATGTGAGTAGATGCAGACTCAAAAGGCAGAAATCCATAATTAGGTTATATTCTAAGTGTTATATCTAAATTCTGCATTCAGTTGTTGTTATTTTATGGCTTTAAATGACAATAATATAAATATGGGCCTTAAATGTTAGTATTAAACATCCAACATCACCTGTGCTTGGACAGATGGTTCTGCAACCTTAAAGGATCTTTTGAACATCCCACCAAATAACGCCGCTTTTTGCTGCATGAGAAATGAAAAAGAGAATTTAACATACACGTAGAAAACATATTAAGTAGGAAAACATGAGGCTGATTCTCAGTTCTGACGTGCAGCCTCATTCAGAACGAGCGAGTAACAGAAGGTGAACACTGACTCCAATAACCTGTGAGTCAGCAGCAGAAATCTGGAGGCTGAACTGGAAAAGAAGCTGCAAATGACTCCATGGATGAAAGGATGTATTTACTAGCTCACGTCTCACAGTCCAGCTTCACAGTCCAGATTTCAAGTCTGGACATGGTGCTGGTTTCATGTCCGGACTTGTAAACCTTGATGACGGTAAATTTAGAGTGATTGTAGAAACTGATCATAAGAATCACATAAAAATGAGACACTGGGGGCCCAATACATGACCAATACACTGGATGGATGGATGGATGGATAGATGGCTTAAGCTTAAATACATTAATTAGGTCTTATTTTAATATTCAACAAAACATTCATAAAAACAAAGTTGTGATTTATCAAACGTATATGTTTGTTAGAAATGTAGCTTTACCGGTCCAATAAAATATGACGTGATGCAGAAGCAGCTGTAAAAATGGTCAGGAACGGTCATTTATGCACAAATTTCTTTTTGTCGTCACGTGGGTTAAAAAAATGTTTGGTAAAGACTGCACTACACCATCAAACGTCCAAAACAAATGCAGTATTTACACCCGTAATGTCAATATATAATAATATCAATTATTATATATAATCAATATAATATCTAATTAAATATGTGTAACCTGTTTTTAAAAGATTGGTTTAAGATGAACTGACACATTGTTGGTTTTAGTCTTTTCGT